TTTTCCCTCTTTTTTTTTTTTTTCTTCTGTCAGATGTATCTTTGACTTTGGAATAGAGAGTTAACTATGCCTATGGAGGAACTAGTATTACTTGTGTGTTTGATAGGAGGAAAACTTCAGCACTGATTGTCTACTTATTACTCACTGAAAATTCTACTTTGGGATAACAGCTTTGATGCAGTTTATGCTATTGAAGCAACATGCCATGCACCAGATGCGGTATGTCAAAATAAGATCCTCTGTTTCAATTATCATAATTATCATCACTTGGTCAGAAAATCAGTTTTAGTTTGACTATTTGATAATGCTGTACTCATTTACTTAACTGATTTCTGTTTATGCTGTGGATAGTATGGATGTTACAAGGAGATTTACAGAGTATTGAAGCCTGGTCAATGTTTTGCTGCATATGAGTTGTGTATGACTGATTCTTGTGATCCCCAAAACCAGGAGCATCAGAAAATTAAGGTTAGGCATTTTAATGGCATGAAAAAAGACACTATTATGTATCCATGAGATGATCTCACATCAAGTTACATTGATTGCAGGCAGAAATAGAGATTGGTGATGGTCTTCCAGATGTCAGGCTGACTGGGCAATGCCTTGAAGCTCTGAAACGAGCTGGGTTTGAGGTGAGTTATTGATTTTGTTTTTCATTTTATTTAAATTTCTTTTGTGTTGTTTCTGCAATGTAACGTAAAACATAAATTGTATAAATGTAATTATTTCCTCTGGTTGGTTAAGGTCATCTGGGAGAAACATCAACCATATGGGTAATGGTCATGGTGACAATTTGGTAAGAAATGGTTTGAAGTAATTGCAGGCTATAGAACTTCTTTACTTGGTGACAATCAGTGTCATAGATGTATGAACTGACAAATATTTTGAATAAATAAATGAATGAATTTTTGTTGTTTTATGACTGATTTTAAAAATGAATTTTTCTGAATTTGTAGGCACTTTAGAATGCCTGAAAATAGAGTGTGCAGGGATAAAGAAAGGGTGATTCTGGGCATTTTTTTGAGTGCTTATATAGGTCATTTCAGGCGCTTGTTAAGTGCTTGAAAATTAGGATTTTTCAACGCTGAGGAAGTATACTCCAGGCGCAGCTTGGGTGTATGAAAATAACCTGTTTTGCAGGCGCTTTAGGAAGTGCCTGCATAATAGGTTATTGCAAGCGCTTTACAAAGTGCCTGCAAAACAGGTTATTGTAGGCAGTTCCTAGTCATTGCAGGCACCTTAAAGCGCCTACAAATTGTTATTGCAGGCGCTTTTAAAGCGCCTGCAGATTAAGCAGGGTTCAGGCGCTCCAGCCTACGCCCACTGGGATCTTTCTCGACATGGGATTTGCGGGCCTCATGCAGGCGCTTTCTTGAGCGCTGGGTAGGGTTATGCAGGCACACAAAAGCGCCTGCAATGACCTCATTTACGCGCCAGCAAAACCTGTAACCTTTGTAGTGTTTCCATCATTCCAATAGATAAACTAATTCATGTTTTCGCTTCAACAATTTCGTTTCATGTAATGAATTTCAATATTTCAAATTTATTCAAGGTACTACTCCTTTTCTATCTACAATTAATTTAATGTTTATAATAAGCAACATTTATTCAATAATTACTTATATGACGTTTACGCTTCTTCTCAACTTCAAGCATGTTAGTTTTATTCTTGTTCATGTTTGTTTTAATTAGGGTAGAATCTTCAATTCTGCAGTAATTTAATTTTCAGATCTGTCAATAAATAACATTTTAATTTAACAACAAACATGTTTAATTTATTTTGAGTACATCTTATTCTCATAAATTTACTTTAAATTGCATGTTGTTTAATTTAATTAAGATTTATTAACTTTAATTCATGATAATGTTTAAATCCTTGAAGTTGTCCAAGGTAGATTTCGCAACTCATTCTATAGGAAGATATTCCTCCTTCTTGCAAACCGTCTGTAAGCGGAGATTTCAATTTTAATTAAACGTTCTTTCTACCATATGCAAAGAAGTCAACCGTGAAGAAAGAGAGTGTCGTTGGAAAAATCCTTTCTTCTTACTTTCAACAAAGTAAGTGATACGTCTGCATTCAAATTTTACACATGCGAAACCACTAGAAGATTTTTGAAGAAACAAAGCCATATTTAAAATTTTCTTCAGAAAAAGGGAGAAATTTACGAGACAGCAAATGGCTTTTAAGGAAGTTAATTACTTAAAAGCTCTGCAAAACCATGCTCTAAATGATGTCCGTTATGTTTGCTGATGTCTCTAAATTTAAATATACAAAAATTTTAATTATATAATTACTGTACTTAGGTGAAAAATGAATTAGCAGTTAAAAAAGAGCAGTGCTAGGGAGTAGGGACACTCGCATCCTGCACTCTCCAGCCAACACATCCTTTTTTATTGGGCCACGTAAGCTTGCTTCGCTATAAAATGATTACATCTCCCGAACCAACATAACGTGGCCCAATGAAAATGGAAGTGTTCGTTGGAGAGTGCAAATGGCGAGTGTTCCTAGCATTGCTCATAAAAAAAGGCAGTTTGCAAAAGAAGAATTTGACCATTAGAAGTTCGAAATCTGGAATATACATGAATCCACCAAGTATTTATTCCAACTAGAAAATATATAGACTAGAGTCGTATAATTGCTCCACATAGCTAAAAAACAAAAAATACACTTAAGCATGACTATCCGATCACTACTTCTACCACATTTATCAGTCCAGTGACCACTACTTTTACCACAAATGGAACGATAGGAATATAACCGGCAAAAAATTCAATCAACCGTGCTGTTGCAGTTTTTCTATCAAAGATGTTTGGCCTAGGAGTTAAAGCCATATTCTTAAGAAGAAGAGGAAGCTGCATCAACGCTAGGCATGTGATAAGAATACCAGCAAGCACAGTTATTGGGATGCCTTCCTTCTGTTCACCTCGTAGCATCACATAAAGAGTAGCACAAAATGCTACTGTCATTGTTGCAATAGAGATGAAGAGAAAAGAAAGACCAAAAATCAACTTCATGGGCAAGGATACAAGAAAATCTTCATAAGCGTAACGTGCAGTGAGAATCCCCAAAAATATTAATACTGAACTGGCTGCAGTGAAAAGGGAAATTGCATCTGATATTATGAATACCTTAAATGGTGTAATCGTAAAAGATGCTGCCCGTGCCGTTGTGTTCAAAAATATGGGGAAGCCTGTATTTTGATCGTTCCCACCTGGAACAGTAAAAGCCGCAGCAAACATAATAGTGATAATAAGAGCACCTATGACTGTAGAAGATTCTGCAGCTTTCTTCATCCATTCTTCAGCTTCTTTTAACATGTTCTTATGTTCTTTAACAAACATTTGGTAAGGAGTTTCACCATCTTTATTTTTCTGTTCGTTGTAGAACCGTGGAACAATTCCTTCCACCGACTGCATTGGTTAAGTGAGAAAATAATAATAAATCAAAAGTTAAGAAATCAGATCTATATTAAAATGTGGCATAAATTTTCATCTTATAAAAATTTGAAAAATCAATACAGTTAGTTTAACTCAATTGAACTAACTTTTTCAATTTTCTAAGAATGATGTGTTATTTTTATTAAAATAATTTGATAATTGCATAATATACGAAATACGGAATTACCGGCTAATTAGAAACAGAAAAAATAGAGATAAAAACTAAACAATGATTACCTTATACCAGCGTACTTCACTTTGCAACTGCGAAGCTGCATCTGAGATGCGATCTAGTTGAAAATGAGGAGCCAACTTTGCTGCTAGATGTAAGTTATTGTTTCCACTTTCATCAGTGTCATAAAATTTGTCATAAAACTTATCTGCCTTGTATTCATCAGGATATTTTGCCTTTTCATCAGTGTCATAAATTTTGTCATAAAATTTATCTGCCTTGTATCCATAAAGAAATTTTGCCACTTCCTCTTGACGATGTTCTATAGCACATGCAAACATGGTTCTTGAATCTTCAGGATCAATGCTGGTCCACAATATGTCTTCCTTAGCTCTTGCAATTTCAATCGCAAGCTCCGGGAATCCATTCTTAATGGCCAGAAAGATAGCTTCCACTGCTCCATTTTGCACAAATTGGTTGTGCTCCAAATCTCGCAATCTCTGACATAAGAAACTTACAACCTTACCAGCATACACATCTCTCGACTTTACATTATATATTTGTTTTGCTGATTAAAAAAAAAAAAACATATATTTGCTTTATTCTACATATAAGAATAAAGAGCACAAAAAATAACGAAAAAGAAAAACAATAATATTGTATTTGGTCAGTAGTAGTAGTTATATAATTTTTTAACTTGTGTCTTAGGCAAATGTTAAAAGCAACATTTATTGTACTTTTTCTTCATTAATTTGTGTGAAAAAAAATAAAAGTTAACTTTAGTTTTATCAAATATCTAATTAAAATGCTCTACATGCCATTAGTGTTGAATATAAAGTTTTCTTTCATAATTTTTTACACAAATTAATGGTGAAAAGGTTAAAAAAATCTATTAAAGATAAAGACACCGATTAGTGTAGTCTCCAATTCAACATACTACGTAACATGCCCATTAAAAAATCATTATTTCTTATGACAAAGCATGTAAAAACTAGTTAAATTGGCTGTATATTTTAATGACTAAACTGGATGAGTGTTCAAAGGTATATAAAATCAGAGTGTGTACTAATCATTTTCTTACAGATAAATGATAAAAGAAAAAAGTGTTTTACAAATCGTCATCCCAATTTTTTTTGGAGAATATGCCTAAAACCTCATTTTCTAATTAATATTTTGAAAAATCAACAGTTGGATTAAAAGTTTTATTCATATAGATTATATATGTCAATTTTTAGATAGTTCTAGTAGGTATAACCACTTCGTTAATTACACAAAATTTAACACCATCAAATATATATTAGTAAATAGAATTCATTTCATTAAAAAATTAAAAAGTTATAAGTATTATGTCAATATGAAAATTAAAATACATGATCACATTAATAGAATTTTTAATTTATAATTCTTGATATTTTAATAATTATTATTAAGTAATACGTTTATCTAGAATTATTTACAATTTAATTATTATTCTTTTAGTCCTAGACCAATGGAGTAAATAAGACTCAATCAATGAAGTGTCACTTTGAATATACTATTATACGCATTTTCGTTAATTATATTACATAACTGAGGTAGAAATCCAATTGCAAATTTGGGTAAGTTGTTTTCAACTTCAATAATATGTAGATATAGATGTCATATTATTGTAAAGTAATTGACGTGGAATTTGAAAACAATCAGTAAGAAATTTAACATAATTAAAGTAATATTAAGCAATTATATGTATTGTGCACACCAAAAAATTTGAAAGTATATTAATTTAATTTAATCAGTTTTCAACTTTCTAAATGAATTTTTTTAAGAGGACTATTGAATTTCAAATTTTAAAGAGATTTTAAAAGACCATTTAGTACTTATTCATGATTTATTGAAGATTTTAATCATTTGTGTACTATAATAAGAAATAATTGAATTTGAATTTTAACTATTATATAGTTATAATTTTCAAACTAATTTGGAACCCAAATTAAAGTTGCCAAATCAATTGAATTGAAATATAGGAGGGAGTGTTATTGGGTTCTTTTTTTTTTAATTAATTTGTGGACTCAAATTAAAATTTATAATTATTTATTGATGATTTTAAAAGACTAATTGCATATTTATTTGAGATTTTAGAAGGACTTAAAAAGGGTCAATGCATCATTTATTCGAGATTGATTGAAGATTTTTAATAATTTTTAAAATATAATAAAATAATAAAATATAACTAAGTTTGGATTTTAAAAGTTTATTAAGTATTTATTTAGTATTTACTAAAAATTTTAAAAGATGGTATTTATTCAGGATTTATTGAAAATTTTAACAATAATTATAATATAATATAATATAATTGAGTTTGAATTTTAAAA